CACACATACAGTTTGCTCGAATTTTTGGACAATACAAATTGTCCTCCCAGTAGGTCGATTTTGCGTCACCCTAAAAAATTCAAGTAGAGCACGAAATGTATTCTTCGTCGATCGCCCATTTTTATAGCATCGTGGCTCTTTGAACCATATTCTATAGGGTGATTCAAATTGAGTTTCCACATTACAATCTCACACATACAGTTTGCTCGAATTTTTGGACAATACAAATTGTCCTCCCAGTAGGTCTATTGTGCGTCATCCTAAAAAATTCAAGTAGAGCACGAAATGTATTCTTCGTCGATCGCCCATTTTTATAATATATAGGTTTGGATAATTTTGACGCGTTGTTCCGCTCCATGTCTAATTTTGTCCATGTTTCTAGATTAGAAATCTTCCATTGCCGTTGACAAATACAGTGGCGTTCCAAAAATATTTGAGATTGTAATTTGGAAACTCAATTTGAATCACCCTTTAGTTCTGTTTGAGAGATGCTATTGAGAAAAATTAGGTTCAAACAGCATAGCTATTCTGTGAACCTATTTTTTACGTTCTAAGTTTCATCAATTTTTCATCATTGTTAAGTTGGACCAAATAATGGAGTAATATTCCAGAAGGCTTCTTATTCATCCCGACTGTTTGTACAAGTTGTTAACAATGAATTTGGTATAAACCACAACTTTGAGTGTTTCGAATAAATTGAGTTGACTAGGAAAGGAAAAACTTCCAGTACTTGCATGACTTTTATTTATCCGCTGATACAATATTTCTGGCTCACATTGTATATCTTCGTACTTCTTACCAAATTGTAGCAGGATAAAATGGTTGAAAGAACTCAAATTCGATGTCCTTCTAGTCAAACAGGATTCTCATATTTTAACTATTTCAATCTGTTTTGACGAGATACTAATTTCATACTAATTTCTGCTTTTTGACACCTCTCATATCAATAATGGACCCGAGTTATATTGTAAGACCCTATTTTATCTTTATACTAATAATTCTCCTTTCCTATTATAATTATAAGCGTTCGCCTATGTTAATACTTATAAATATGTAAAACTGCTTAATCAGCGGTACTGCACTGGTAGTACCATTAATCCGCCGACGCAAATGCTGCATCAGCAGATATTTCTTATTTAAGCCAGCGCATTCCCTTACGGAGCGTTCATTTGTTTTCAGGCACTCCCTGTAGCAATTTGATCCACATATTTTCGTTTGTCACTAATGTATTTTAATTATAAAAATAAATGTTTTTTAAAAATACAAGTTTCTGTATAATTCCCGTGACCGGGTATTTATCAAACATGAGAATTTAGGATATACAGCGTGATTTTACAAAGAAAATTGAATAAAAGCAATTCAAATAAACCTCGAAATAAACTGAAACATATTTAAATTCGTAACAATGAGCTTAACACGATTTTATTTCCAGTCCATATGAGCTGAAGTTTCCAGGGATTGTAGTCCTCTACAGCTGAAATTTTCAGTGATTCTTAATCAATGACCTTCTGACCTTTTAACGTTTTCCAAAATCCAAATCATAATACTTCAGTAGATAGGTAGGGGAGCCCGGGGTAGAACGGGGTATTTAGTGTTTGAATTTTTTTTTTTGAGAAAATTTACCTACAGATCCTCAAACTTTTTCTTGGAAACTTTATTTGAAATTATTTCTAATGATTATTACAAAGATATTTCATCATTTCCTTTTCTGTATTTTGCTGTTTATTTTTATGACAAAATCTGCACAATTCCCCGTTCTGCCTCTCCCCATTCTGCCCCAAGAGAAGAGCATTAACTAATAATTTCATTTTATGGGGACAAGGTACCCTAAGAGAAGGGCTTTCTTCCTATACTACACAAAATGACCGGCTAGTAAAATTAAACACTCATCGTTGTTCGCAAATTCGTCAATTCTTACAGTGGATCTTCTTATAGTGATGCATCCGGCGCAACTCGAAGGACTACCAACAAAATATTAAATTTGTTGCCAACGTATTCCTAGGATATAGTGCTGTGAATATATATCGATATGGCAGCGTTGCACTAACCCGCAAAAATTTGAAACGTGGTACCCCGTTCTACCCTGGTACCAGAGCTGGGCAAGCTACTTGGAAAAAGTAGCTAGCTACAAGCTACAAGCTACTTTATATTGTAAGTAGCTAAGTTACTCAGTAGCTCAACTACCTCTTTGAAAAAGTAGCTAAGCTATTAGTAACTTAACTAAATTTTGAATTAGTGAAAGCTACTATTTATTTAGGCTATTTTTATCAATGTACATGCCTTACCTAATTTAATTTCATAATATCATCATACGAAAATAAAATATTAACTTTCTCTAAGAAGTAGTATTCATATTTTTGTCAAAAACCACTGCGGACATTAATTTATTAGGTTCACTTTGATCACAGTGATCTGCGAATGCGAGAATAAAATAGGACACATAAAACATAGGTACCTACCTACAGAGATAACTAGAAACTAGTCTAAGCAAGGCAGGATAAGAATTTTCCGGAAAATGATAATTGTAGCTTGAGTAATTAAAGTATAAGGTTACTTTTATCGAGCGGTAAATTCAAACGCGGGCGATAGGTTGGTGGAAACGTGCCTTTATAAAGGGAAAATTGTTTATTTTTGAAAACAATGGCCGCGTTCACCAGATACAAACGTTGGTAAACGGTTTGCGATTATTCTGCTGAACGCTACGTTGAATCTATGTTGAAACCAAACATGTTTTGCAAACGGTCGCCATTTTTGCAAGCATAATTTCAGAGTGTTTATAATTTTCAACACTGTGTTTTGTGTGGTGACCTGTCATTCAGAGGGTGACGTTCTATCATTGAAAAGTTGAATCGTTCAGCAGAACCAAGAGTTTACCCAACATATTCTGTTGGTATTTGTAAACTGTTTACAATCCGTTTTGGTTCTGGTGAACGTAGCTAATTGTCGAATGGATGCCATTATATTATAGGTATAGTTATTTTGTTTTTGAACTAGCATAAAACGTATTAAGTATTTTGGGCGTTGAGTATCGTTAACCACACCCTCGGGCGGTAAATGACACTTTCCGCCATTAATACCTTAATAACTATTAACTATCTACCAAAAGTAGCTTAAGTAGCTTGTTTTAGTAGCTAGCTACTTTTCACAGTAGCTTATGAATACTTGAAACACATTACCAAAAGCTACAGCTACAAGCTACTTTTTTTTCAAAGTAGCTTGAATAAGTTATTAGCTACCAAAAAAGTACCTAAGCTAGTAGCTTAACTACTTGGGAGCTAGCTACTGCCCAGCTCTGCCTGATACCCCGTTCTATACCCGATTCCCCTACTGCTAAAACGATGAAATTTCTTTTTTTTTTTTTTTTGTTGGGATTTTGTATCCTAAATGTCCTTTGGGATCCCCCAAGCTCCGCATATACTAAATTATTCTAAGTTTTGATGCCGGATTCTATGACAAAAGGCACTTAGAAAAATTGCTAAATCACCCCAAATTGCTTAACACGATTTTATTTCTGGAACTATAAGTCCAAATAAGCTGAAATCTCCAGGGATTGTAGTCCTCTACTGGGATAAGAATCGCTGGGAATTTCAGCTTTCTATCTATAATAAAAAAAAAGTTATGACCCTTCAAATTTTTCCAAAATCTTAATCATAAGGTAGCTAACTCAGTACCTACTAAAATGATGAAATTTCAAATTTTTTTCTTATTGAGATTTTGTGTCCTAATGGTCCTTTGGGATCCCCCAAACTCCATACACTAAATTATTCTGAGATTTGGTGCCGGATTCTATGAAAAAGACACTCAGAAAAATTGAAAAATTGATTAATCAGTCCAAATTGCTTAATACAATTTTATTACTGGAACTATAAGTCCAAATAAGCTGAAATTTCCAGGGAATATAGTCCGCTACTGGGATAAAAATCGCCTAAAATTTCAGTTTTCTATCTATAATAGAAAAAAAAATTATGACCCTTCAAATTTTTCCAAAATCTGAATCATTAGCACCTCAGTACTAAGCGGTCTGATATTTGGACGATAATGGAGAGTGATTTGAAAAACGCGTCACGAGCAAATTTCGAGAAAGACAAGCTATTGATTGACACAAACCAAGGATTATAGGCGCGAAGAGGATTGCCGATACCCTTGTAATATCAATACAGATGCGCGTCTTCCTTTTGTTATACTATTATCATTGTGTTTTATGATTATTTTCGTTATTTATATTATGACCATCAAATGAGGGAGTAATGTGAAACATGACGTCCAGATCGTTGAAGACGTCACCACCTCCAATATATTTTTCTCTATTAAATGGATATTCTGATTCACACTGTTCTTAATCGGATTTCCTCATACTTCCGAGCATTCAGCTTCAAAGGGTTATTTCTAGATCTATAAAAGCGTTGATTTTAAAGTCTATACCTTCCTCAACCACAGGAAAGCACAAGTTGTCGACTTATAAGATAATAAGTTCTCGCTATTCGATTAAAAAATAGGCGACTTTGCTGCTAACGTTAGTTTAAAATTTTTCGTAAAGTTCATTTTCATGAGCTTATAGCATATTTCTTAGAGGAGCTCTAAACAATTTTCGATTTGCAAAACACTTATCAATATCCTTATAGAGAACCTTCAGAAAGAAGTCCACATCCTCCCAAACGATCGATATGTTTGTTGATGAAAAGCGTTCAACTTCTCTCTAAAGTGATTGTTGATACTATTTGAAGTTGAAAACACCGCCCTATAGAAGGGCGAATGGTGATATAGGATATGGAACAGAAATGGCTATATAGTAAGGATTATTAAAAATTCGTGAGGAAGAAATAAATAAATAAAAAACTGTTATACATAATTTTTTTATTTTTATTAATATACAAATTTTAACGTTAATTATTATGCACGAAAAAGATATGCTTGAGATAACAAAATCGACAAATAAAATAACAAAACAAGAAGCAAAAGAAAGCTCGAACATATTGACAAAACAAACAGCCTACTCACGGCTATGGTACCGAGAACACGTAAAATTCCGGTACCAAATGTTTCATGCTTTGATATTTTTGTATGCCTGAAAAAAGGAATGAAATATTACACTAGTTTGTTTTTAATAGAAATGCAATAACAATAAATAAATGATTTAATAATTTTACTCAGTAAAAAATAAGCGCTTAGAAGCTAACAACCATCAGTAGGTACCTTGCGGTGGAGGAGGCGCTTTTCTTGTAGCTGATGGATTAGGGGATGACATTCTATAAACTTTTTAAAAAAATAATGAAATTAATATAATAAAATAACTATTTTTTTTTAATATCCTGTTCACAATCCGATGTCCACAGGTGCAGATACATTTATCACCTTTCCCTATCAAATAGCATTGAAAGGTGATAAATTTTACCGGTACCAGTGGACATCGGATTGTGAACGGATAATAAGTCAAGTACTATTTACGAACCTCTTTTTGTTCCAGGTGAAGCTGGTGCACTCAATTGACTACTGGTACTAGTCATTTGACTAGAAAACGAAACTGAACATTCACCAATAATATTCAATGCTTCTTTACAGGCTTGATACATTTGCATCTTTTCTTCGCGTTTCCTAACTTCATCGGCTGATTCTTCCATAAGATTATCCTATAGACAAATAATTAACCAAAATATTCAACCAATCCAAAATGTACTGACCTGATTCTCTGTCGAATAAACATGCAACAATAACTCCTCACTTATAAACTTCTTTGTTGAATTTAGTACTAAATTTGTTATAATCTTTGGTATTAAATCCTTAGTGGATTTATTAACAATTCCCATATAACTATCAACCAAATTCCTTATAACTTCCACTTGCCGTTTCAACTGCGGGTCAGTGTCTTCTTTTGCTGGTATATCTTCGTATGTATTCTCTTCTACTGCTGGCCTTTCTGGATACACTCCAGCTCTAAGTAACGACGCCTTCCACGTATCTTCTTCCTCTATGGAATTACAACTGAGCTCCAATTGCTTGTTGTCTTTATAAACATTTCTTCCATTGGAATAAAACAATCCAAAGGTGTGTCTTCTGGTTATAAATTTTGATTCCATGTCTCTCAATTTTATACCATTCAAAGGTAGAATATATTGAATTTCTTTTTCTGTGTCATCTTTGAACCAAGCAAGATTTTCTGATGTTAGAACAAACCAAAAATCTTTGGCGCCACGTATCATGCTTTGATTATGAATATACATGTAGCCTTTACGGATTACTTGGTTTCCTGGAGCAGAACTGGTTGAGGATATGTTCTTTTTTGCTTGATTTTCAGCACTAAAATAAGGTTGTTAGCAATAGTTGATTAACAGTTTGTGAAGTTACTTGGCGAATCCAATAAAATCCTCATGATTAGTGTTCATGTAACTTAACTGACAATCAATATAAAATTGTATTTGATCTTTGCATTGTTGCTCTGCTTTGTGAATTTGTGCTGATATTATACGTTCGACAGCGTCTCTTAATATTGGATAGCGAGACATCTATAATATATTGATTATATCTTCAGTTAAAATAATTCGCCTGATACATACCCTTTCAGTGCAAAAATGTGTGATATTCAAAAGTTCTCCAACTACAAGATTAATGCACTTAAGGCAAGGCTCTTTGAGTCTACCAATTTGTTTTTTTACTATGGCATCAAATGCAAGATCAGGAGTGAAAAGTCCAATCTATAATACAAAATATTAGGGAAAAAATTACATTGTATATTATAGAGATCTTACCCTAATACCATGAATATTACAAATAGCTATAGCAATTTCTCTGCGTAATTCGTTTTCGTCAAATTCCATCTTTACAATTTCAAATGGAAGCCTTTCGTGAAACAGCGAATTGATTTTCGCACCACCACATAATTCACTCGTGTTGATTTCGCTGGACCTTGAGCCTTCTAAGGCTTTTTCGAATTCCAAAGAGAAATTCTGGACCATCCTTGAAAAAGAAAAATAATTTTGTTTCAATAACTACTTTCATTGTTAGCAGCTACCTAACGACAGTTTTAATATTTTCTTTTTCATTATTCAATTTTTTTTCATCGTTCATAATTTTGATTGATTGACAAATGAATGACTTACTGCAATAATGCTTTTGTCTTCATAGTTTTATCATCGTGTTTGAAATTTCTAAAATCTCCCAAATCTTTTTCCAAGAATAATAATTGTTTTTGTAAATTATCTCTTAGACTGGGTAGAGTATTTTTAATATGATTAGTCAACTGGGCGTTTAAAGTTTTTTGTAAAAATACCGTTCCCATTCTATCTATCATATGCTTGTAAGCTTGGTGTCTGAGAAAAAATTCCCTTTCGGCTTTTATTTGCAATTTAATATCTTTGCCACCCTCCAAATCTTTTTGAGATCTATTGATTACACCCACATATCCTCTCCTCAAAGGAAGTAATTTATTTTCTAATATGTCTTTGGCATCGGTTCCTTGATCCATGAGGTCTAGTTTAGTAATTACACCAATTGTGCGAAATCCTATAGAATAAAATAATTAGAAAATGTGTTAGATTTTGCTATGGTGTCTACCATCTGGATCGACTTTCTTAGCTATTTGCAATGCATCAGAATTAGCCAAGTCGGTATTAGCTGGTGTGACAGCTAGAATCAAACATGAATCTCTTTTTATGTATTCCAGGATCATGTTTCTAATTTGTTGTTCTATGTCGGGGGGCTGGTCTCCTATTGGGATTTTTGTCATCCCTGGAAGGTCTATGAGAGTGAGATTTAAAACTGTAAAGAGACAGAACATGGTTGATTTATGTAAGTATTTAACTGCTTAGTCATTTTTTGGTCACAGACATAATTTAGTGTAAAATTCTAAATATAAAGTAAAAATATTTATGGCACAGGAAACAATATTTACATCGTAAAAACCGCAAAAAAGCCAACATCGTAAAATTAGGAAAAATTTCCGAAAAAGCATAAAACTATATATTATGCACGTCTGATAACTCCCAAGATAAATTTGATTATCTTAAGCATCTTTACTGAGAAACAATAATGACTCAATAAAATTACTGTGAATTATTATAATTATTTACGTACCGTTTGGAGAAAAGACTCTTAAATTAATCGGTACATTAGATATTCCTTTATTTTTTCCAGTAATTCTATCAGTATCAGCTTCAATTTCACGTCTAACTTCATTGAAGTCGACAAGTTTTTTTCCAGGTTTATGAAGAAATTCGGCGTATTCTAAAATAAAAAATTAATTAAAAATAAAATCACAATTATGAGTCGTTTCTATTCACCATAGTTTGCGTGAATCAGTTGCAAAATTAGGGGTCTTCTGGTTACTATTCCGGATCCTCTGGGGAGAAAATCTCTAGAAGAAATAAGTGATTTTTAATATAGATGACTTAGGTTAAGCAATAATTGTTTGACATTTAATTCTCTAGAGGCCGGTATTTCAATGTCACCTTAAGGTACAGAACACAGATTAACCGTAAATCAGAGTTCCCTTAGTTCAAGGTAGATCTTAAGAATGAACTAATTTCAAGGTAGGTAGCTTAGGTGAGTCTTAATTTTAGGGTAACATTGAAACACCGGCCTAAAACTAAGCTGATCAGAATCATGCTATGATAACATGCTCTTGTGTAGACTCTCAAAATACAGTTTGGCTACATCAGGAGCAGTTTCAACGCAATATAGTCAACAATGAGAGTTCTGAGGAAAAAAAGACCCTGTAGACTAGAGAACCTTGAAGTTGGATGAATAGCTAATGAAATCCTAAAAACGACCTTTCTGCTAAGAGGTACCTATTCCAAACGTAATTGATATTTTGGAAGGAAAGTTGGTGCTCCCAGCGCCCAGTTTTGAAAGAAAATAATGCATCAGCAGTTGAAACGCCTGCGCATGAGGGAGGCCTGGAGAGTTCCAATATTGCAGATTGTAATGCACTTCTTGCACTTACGATAAATATGACACAAGATAGCTTACAAAAAGTTATGAGGTTTTCTACAGGAGGAGAAGTGTGGGTTGAAATGGTTAAAGTGAAAAGGCTCTTTTATCACAATGTCGAAGACAAAACCTATGATATTTGCTTAAAAATCTTTAACTATAAGAAGAAAGTTGAAGATGATATGGCAACGCAGACGTCTAAGCTCAAGAACCTCTGGAACGAGCTGCAAAGAGGGTTATAAAAAGACAAAATCAATACAAATAAAACATGTTATTTTGAGTTACCCGAGTTGCTGTTAGTCTGTAAGATTTTAGAAACTCTTCCCCAAGACTACTTCTCCTTCAAGTCAAGCTGGATGTTAATGTCGAAATGTGACAGGACTATAGACAATTTAACAAATCAGCTTTGTTCTCATGAGAAGGCATTATCAAACAAGAATAATGGAAGTCATCAGTGGGAACAGTGTGATGATGTCATCGAAAATGATCCGCCAGCAGCGACCGCACCACTTGAGGAGCAACAGAAGTTCAAGAGACTTGAAGAAAGCGAAGTCCATGATCGTTCAGGGTGTGGTGTGTCTAATAAGCATTTTGATTTTGTTAAAGATTGTAATACTGCTAAAAGTCAATTACAACTAGACCATATAACAGAAGCATATTCTAAATGTGTACGAACATGAGCAATGTAAAGCTTAATCACGGCACCCATATCATTAAATCGCCTTGTGTTACGCATAATGAATCCAAGAGATCTATGCTTTGTTAATAACGTACTCATAATGCTGATAAAATTTTAAATTGGTCTTAAAGCACACCTCAAGATCCATGCACTCAGTCTTTTACTGAAGTTCATTGTTATCAATTGAATATGAAAACAATATAGTATTAAAATCTGTTTTTTTTTTTTAAAGATAAAAGTCAAAATGACATTATGTTGGCAATACAATGTAAAATTGTCAATGCTTTCAAATTTTTTATGTAGAAAAGGCTTGTGTTGCCAACATAGTTACTAAATTTTTGACTTGGGGAATTATCTTTAAAAAAAAAACACACTTTAGTTTTGTTTGTGGATGAGATAGCAAAACTTTTTTTAGAACTATCATTTTATTTCTTCTAAGCCAATCAGAAACTGAGTTCAGATCATCCTGAAGTGCAGCACAATCGTTATCATCTAGAAATTTCTTCTAAGCCAATCAGAAACTGAGTTCAGATCATCCTGAAGTGCAGCACAATCGTATTCATCTAGAACATACTGACTGTATTCTCAGATATGAATGAGAATGAAAATATTTACCACATTGTAATTGATTTTCCATATCAGACAAAATAAGAACAAGTGGGTGATTGAGATCCATAAACTAATGCAAAGCCTTCTGAAATTTGATCTATAGTCGAACCATTCTAAGTAATACATCCTGGTATACCAGGTCTCCTAGATCTAGAATTTACAAACTTCCAAAAGTTATTATGATTCAATCTCATATTGTCCTCTCCATCGATTTGCTTTTTAATAATTGATCTTACTCTTTTGTGCTCATCAAAAAGATATAAACTAGCCTTGCCACGCTTTATTCGGTTATGTAAACTATTTTTATGCTTAATGTTTCTCACCAAATCGATTGAAAACTATATTGGATATTTACAATGTTTAATATGTTCAGAAATTGTTTTTTTTTTTTTGGTAGGTACTGTATTATCCAAGCAACTAATATTGTCATAGAATAAGTCTTATAGTATTAACATTACCATCCCTTTGACATTGTACTTGTGTTAACATACACAAGGAAGGATGATAAGAGTCCTCAGGTATTGAAGGGGTCTCACATTTTTCTAACTGAGAAATTTCTATGTTAGACAATACAAGATCAAGTTTCCTGTTCTCAATATTTAGAATTTTATTATACTGACACAAGCTATTTATACACATAAAATTACGTAAAGCAAAGGATTTATCACAGCCTTTGGATTCAGTATCGGGGCGAAATATAAACACAACACAAATAAAGGATAACTTTTTTGAAGTTTTAACAAAATGCATGTCTTAATAATCTCGAATCTCAGTTCTTTAAAGCAATCATAACTCCTCCACCTCTAGTGAGTTCATTCATCCTATTCCTACGTATCACATTATATCTGCGGTCCACCAGTTTAGCATCCTGAAAACTTTGATTCAACCAAGTTTCAATCAATAGCATAGAGTCATCACACAACACATTATTATACAGCTCCTCAGTTTTAGTCCTGGGCCCGGATCCCGAACCCATGATTCTATAATATCATCTATGTAATTTATATGGACGATACTTTCGAATCGTGGGTACGGGATCCGGGTCCTGATCTCCTTACATTCTGATAATAAATAATAATTTCACATCCATGTCCTTTAATATTGTTTTGTTTGGGATTGAGGATCCGCCTGGCGTTCTACTATATTAGCTGAGTTATTATGCCTTAAGTTCTTCCAAAGTATACCTTTCATAGAGCCTTTTTAGCAATTTTCTTTCTTCCTGACTAGCATGGGCATAAGGATGTTCTATTTATTCTCATGTGTTTTAAAGAAGTCTTTCTCTCATGCCACAGTTCAAATGAAGATTTTTCTTTGATACTAGAATTACCAGTCCTATTCAAAATGCGCGTCGATGAATTTATTACGTCAGCCCAAAAAACTTGTGAAAGATCTGCATGCATGATGGATCTGGCAGTTTCAACGATGGTACGGTTTGTACTGGTTTATAAGACATTACGAGTTTCTATTTGAATCCACTTTCTTGTAGAATTCTTCTTGCTTGACCATTGTCAAATTCTCCACCTTTATCTGAGAGTAGCTCTTTTACTGTATGTCCTACTAGTTTATTTTCATAGTTAACATAATTGGCAGTTTTTCCGCAACTTCAGATTTTTCTTTCAAAAAGTAGACATAGCGATAACGACTGAAATCATCCTTGAAGCCACTTTTGGATTTTTCAAAAGGCCCACAATCATCTGTGTGTAACTGGTCTCGATGACTGCTTTGCTCTTTCTTTTTTCTCAAACTTCTTTCTGTGAGTTTTAGCATAAATACAACCCTAACATATTTCGCAGTCTAAGGTCACTTTAAGCTGAAACTAGCGATTCAAAATATCTCTGATGTGTCGTTTGTTTTGACGAGCAAAGCGTTCATGGTATAGTTGCAATTAGTTTTCATTTGAAACTATGTTGATTTGAGCTGTTATCTCTGGCTTAAAATGACTCAAATTTGCAGCAATTATAAATCGAAGTTTCTTTTATAAATGAGCACAAACTGCTAGTCAATATTTGACTCAGATTCTGAGCTACAATTATTTTAAACCAAAACTTGAATTTTTTTTGTGAATTCGAACTTTGAGAATTTTTTTAAAAATGTTCCAGGCTCCAGAATGACTTCAAATTTGCAGCAGTTATAAATTGAAGTTTCTTTCATAAATGAGCACAAACTGCTAGTCAATATTTGCCTTTAATCAAAACTTGCATTTTTTTTTGAGAATTTGAGCTTCGAGACTATTCCTTTAACTTTTTTTTGAGAATTTAAGCTTTGAGATTTTTTTTAAAAATGTTTCAGGCTTCAGATTATGATATGCAATGCTAACAGCTTTTACAGTCCTCCAAATTTTTTCACCTGTCGGAACGGTTTTTCTACGAATTATAATTGCAATTTTTAGTGCTTGAAGTAAACTTTGATGTGAACTGTAGATCTTGTGCATGCAAAACAGAAAATAAATTATTTTCAATCTCAAGAACAATATGATAATATGTTCCGTGTGATAACGTCAAAACATCTTCTATTTATTACCAACAGCTCTAACCGTTATGCTATTCGCTGCCGTTATGGCGTATGTATCTTGAAAATATTCAAATGCTTCAAAGATATCACCTCGATATGTTATACGACTTGTAGTCCCCATTATCCACAAACCAGCTATTCTCCTCACATTCGCTGAATAAAACACTTTGCTAAGACAACTAACATATTCATGTTTTGTACCCTTATTTTTCTGTATTATGTTTACTTCTTGAATTTGAGCTTTTCGGTTTTGAAGGTCTACGATCTTCTTTTCATGTAGTACCTACCTACATTGTTTGACCTTATTGTTATAATAGTAATAATTTGATGTGCATAATTAAGGACAATAAATCGTGGAATATTACAATTCATACAGGCAGAGAACAGAAACTTTTTCTACGAACTTGATTGACATTAAACCACAGAATTATAAAACATTGACACTACATCTGTATATTGAGGAAAATCACCTATTTAAAATATTTCTTCAAATCTTAACTTTTTAAAAAAACGTTTACTGAATAACAGTAAATGTTGCAACCTTGTCTGCGCCATCAAATTTAGGGGTGACCGCGTTCGACCACAAGGAACGGTACTGCGAACGAGAGATAGAGAAGACGCAACTAGACTTGAGAACAAGCTGGGGCTGTTCCTTTACATGCGTGTCTGTAATTATTCATTATTCAATTTTCATTTCTATTTTGCATTAAAATTGATTGTTCAATCCAATTTGTTATTAGTGTGTGTGTAAGGAGCGTTCACAGGTTAGTGGATTAAATGTTATTTTGTTTTTGAGAGTTCAATTTATGCAAGTTCCTATTATTTTGTTCATTTTTATGTATTTTTTGTTTGTTTATTACTTTTTTTTATAACATGTGCATTGTTCATGTATTTAGCAAAAATCGTTCCATGCTGTAAACAATACAGATAAAGAGTAAATTAAAACCTAGAAAAATTATGTGCTGTCTTTTTGTGCTGGGATTTCGATTTTTGGATTTAGAGCGTACATTAGGGCCTTGTTGAATTTGCTAACATTTTCCTACTCTGACGAGAGAATATCCTACCAAATTGAAATCTAGAGATATTGGCTCAAAAACAACTATAGCTGAGTAGCTTCCCGTATGGGACCTCAGTACCTGCTGGGAAACTGGCTAACTAACAAAAAAACTCTTCCGTATGGAATATAGGTAGTGTTGATTGAATGTAGTATGTGTAATTGAAATTTTGGCACAAGAACAGGAGCGGTACCTAATTTCAACTTTTATTGACTTAAATTATTGAATTATTGACTCACAATTATTAGATATTTAAATGACACAGTATGTTTAAATTTTTGAGGAATGTTAGATCGAGGGTTTCTCTGCCGTGCTCTTTCCCCTCGTTAGTTCCAGGATGCGAACGGTACGATTTACTTTAGTAATAAAGTAGACGTTTCACAAATTTTTCGTTTCTTTTACATATTATTATCACAGCTTCCCTTAAATTTCCCAAATATTTGCTATGTCGGGCGCATTTCCAGTAAGTAAAATTGAGTAAGTTTCCACAACGTAGGTCCTATTTGTTGTTTATTTCGTTTTTTTTTTAGAAGATTTTTTGTTTAAAAGGTAATGAAAATTCACACCGTTCAATCTTACTGACGAACCCGGGTGTGTTATACTACAGTATGTAGGTACAGCATTTCTATATGGTGAGCTTCAAGAAGAAGTATACATGCAACAGCCAGAGGGTTTCACTGATGATACAGATAAGGTTGCCATCTAAGGAAGAGCCTATATGGACTTTAGCAAGCCACTAGGTGTGGAACAGAAGAATAATGGATTTCATTCTATTTTTTGGTTCCAAACAGAGCGATGCCGATCCGCGTCTCTTGATCATAAAGGAAGGAACAGATATTCTTATTTTGGTTTTATATGACATGGGCGATTGTCTGCTAGCTTGAAGCAATGAACAAATGAAAACATATTTTCTACAACAACTACATACAGAGTTTAAATTTACGATAAAGCCTGCATCATATTTTTTGGGTATGGAAATCATGAAGTCCGAGAATTTATCATCCATTGAAAAGCATATACCAAGAAATTATCAACAACATTTGGTATGAACCAGGCAAAACTCGTCAAAGCTCCAATTGTTAAAGATGATTCTCCTATAGAAGAAGCCGGCATATCAAATTTTTCATATGGAGAGGCTGTTGGAGCATTACTTTACCTGATCTCAGGATCAAGACCAGACATTTCATACGTAGTCAGTTTTGTGTCGAGAAGTTTGGAAAATATAACTCGCAACGACTTTGTCTAAGTAAAGATAATTTTCCGCTACAATCAAGGAACATTCAATAATTATTGTATCACTTACAAGCCCAAGAACCAGAAGAGGTCACATACAAGGTTTCAGTGATGCTGATCATGATGGGGATACAAAAACAGGAGTGGTATGTGCTTATGCTGGAGGTGCTATATCCTGGATAAGTCAGTTGTCATTTCTACAACCGAACCAAAGATCGTTGCAGCTAGGGGAGCTCCGAAAGAACTTGTATGGCTGAAAAGATTATATAAAGAAATGATACCACTAAAAGAGTTATTAGTTGATAACGAAGCAGCCATTCGTTATGCACAAAATCCTGAGAACCACAACAGGACCAAGCACATTCAGATTCGACATTTCTATGTAAAACAGCTTGTCTTAGAAAAAACTGAAAGTACACAAAACGTCTACAGAAACTCAAGTTGCTGATTTAATTATACAAAAGCTATGGTCAACCCAAGAGATGACATTTTATGTGATAATACCACTGATCTCAAAAATACATGGATAAACAAAGAACGCTTCTAATGCTGCTAATTTACGAGGTCATAATCTAAACAAAAACAACTGACTGGGACAGCTGTGAGCGTGCGCAGTAGATACATGTACTGTGCGTGCACAAAATCTGGCCAATGAAAATGAAGGAATTTCAAAATTTAGAACAGTTGTTCGAAAGATAAGACACTGCGCAGGCGTTAGACTGTTCCGTTGCACAACTGTTCGTAGAATATTGACCCCAAATTTTCGCACAAATTTTGTCAATCAAGCCGTATGATTGTTTATCCATTAATTTTTTAGATCAATGGATAATACAACACGCAAGATTTCTAATGAGGAAAGGTGTTGAAGAATATTCTACATCATATGTATGAAAGTCTTGTAACCTTAGTCATTTCTTATCTAGTTTATTTTTAAATTAGAATGACAATGTGTGTAAATCAACCACTTTTGTCAGTGTGGTAAATATACTTTTTCTACGAGCGTGCGCAAAGTTATTACTTTGCACACTCATTTGCGTGCGCAAAGTTGAACTTTGCGCACGGAAACTCTTTGCGCACTAATTTTTGTTAGGCATAGTTATAAGTTACCGCATTTATACTCGATATTTTCAATGTTTTGTGGGTTTCTTGATAAACTTATATTTAGGAAGAAGGGCCTGATGTTATTTTTGTTCCAATAAAGGCATTCAGGTAATTTTCAGCTTTTTTAATTTGTCACTTTCCGTAAGAGGAGCGAGGGGAGGAAAAAGTCAGCAGAAACAGATGTGAGGTCAGGTGACCATTGGCATGAAGAGCCACCAACTCACATTCCTTTGGAGTATCAGATTATAAAAGTTGGACTGTAAGTTATACTCCTCCGTACCAAAATTTGGCAGAGGGCAGAGAAAACAAACTTAACGACTTGTTCGAATTTTAAATAAACTTCGTTAGCACAACCAACGTTGCAAATAAAGTCAAGCTGATCATTGAAAAAAAAAATTGAAAACATAACACATTGAACTAGGAGAGGAAATTACCAATTTTGAGCATCTGGAAACATTTAAGAAGACTAGGTATACAGCTCCTCTGGATGCAAATCTTAAACACTCGTAGAAAAAGTATTGTTCCTAACACTTGCGCAAAGTGTCTTTCCCGCACTCAAAGCTTATCCGAACTCCGCTTCGCGTCGTTCGTCTAACTGCTTTTTTGTGCGGGAAAGTATCACTTTGCGCACTTGTTTGTTATTTTCCTAATAACTATTTCGACTTTTCGTATTTTCTTCTTAATTTGAATCATTATAAAGATTAAACTTTAACACTTATGACGGAGATTGTGACTTTTGCAACTACACCTGCATATCTGACCAATATTAACCACGGTTAGACGTCTCTATTGGCTAAGTTGGTGATATAGGTATTTGTGTTAGTTGTACAACGTTGGTAATGAAGATGATACCCATAAATATACGAAAAAAGTTACCCACTGTACTCATTTTTTCTTTAAAGGAATCGAGTATTAGGTATACCATCAATTTTCCACCGAGGAAAGGAGACAGAAGGTTTTTCGTAGGTAATTTAAATAGTTTTTTTGGGATATGAAATTAATCTTCCATAAAATAAACGAAAAATGGATGACTGGATTCCAATACCTACTTAAGTTGGCTCGTTTAAGTTGGAGTACTCTGTAGGCGTAAAATCAGATATAAGAAATATTAGTCAGTGAAATAATTTTTTCATATTTTCCTATTTTCTTGTAGTAAGTATGTCATTGTTAATTTTTACCGACATTTAACAAATAAATCGAGAAAGTCACAAGATCATTATTACAGATAAAATATTTAAATGGAATTTATTGCTACCTAAATCATTAGACTTTGATTTCAACCATTAAAAAAAGCCAATTACATACATCGATTGCACAAAACACGAAAGGTGTGTCTGTTGTCTGGACTTTCAATCGAATGATGTTGATGTTTATTTTTAGACAAAAATATTTTGAACTTCTTACCGTCCAACAAAATTTTCTAAAACCGAACTTTTCCCAGCACTCTGTCCCCCTACCACGGCAATTTGTGGCAAATCAAGGGACAGTTGCACACCCAGTCGCGTAAAAGCGTCCTGCAACTTGTTCACTGTACTTATCAAATGTTCCATACCCGAAACTCCGGACATTTTTGTAAGTCTATCTTCGCCGAATGTTCAGAGCATAATATTCCGAGAAACTACATTTAATTTTGTTGTTTACTCAACAGAAAGTAAACTTTACGTTATTAGTTATGTTTATGTATGATTCACTCACTCGACCGTTGCGTTGTTTTACAACTAACTGTTGTTAATAAGGAAAAATTGCCTGCTTTAATTATTATTGTCGATCTAGCACGAATGAAATTTGTGCTATCTATATGCTAGCTGATAAGTTTTTATCAGAATCAGCGGTGATAAAAATAACAAAAACTGCTTAGCGGGCCAGTGTCATTGTGCTTTTTACGTTTTGATATTGAAGTCCTTGATATTGGGAATGCCATGAGTTAATTAGATAGACGATTAATCTATGTTTGCGTACGCAGACAATACTTAGAAACCGATAGGATATTGCTGGTTGCCTAAAAGAAACATCAATATAGTTTTTAAATAAAACAAATTAACTTTGAAAATATTGTATTTTTTTTTAAGTATCATCACTTGAAAGTTCATCGATATTTGTCGACATCGATTTGTAAGCTGTATCGATGAGCTTTGGGATATCTTCCTTTGTACAACCTTTTGTTGGTATTGCTGGGAGAATCCTTATTTTAATTTCACCTGGAATATCAAAACGAAAAATTAACAGGCTTTTAGTAAATTCATTGATGAGTTATCAAATCACTATGGGAAAATTTCGCAAATGTATAATTTGTGACTAAAATCATAGACTGAGTCAGATTTCACAGTAGGATTCCTTATCGTTGTGAATATTTATTCCATATGTGGTATTTTATGCATACATATTATAGCCTATGACTTATTAATCCTAAAGACTTCAGTATAATTATGATTTTTCCATATCTAAATTATATTTTCTTAACAAAATCTTACAACAATAATGCTTTAGTCATCTAATGAATAATTACTTTAATCTTGATTTCTTCTGGACTTTCAATGTCATTCGCTCATCAGCCACACTTCTCTAGCATTGAGACACCTTCCCATGTAATTATGATAAATTTCCAGTTTCTGAGATACTACAAAGGCCTCAAATCTTATTGTGTAGTGGCAACTTCAAGTTTTGAACCTCTTCACAATCAAAATCTCACAAGTTTTGAAAGGAATCAGAAAGCGAATCGTGGTTTATTTTAAATTATAGAGCATCTCAAAAACTGCAAATTGGCTTTTGTATGCGATCATGATAAATTTCCAGATTTTGATATATTTAAAAATCTTGTGTACTGGCAAATTCAAGTTTTGATGCTTTTCACAATCAAAAGCTCACAACTTTTTGAGAAAGAAATCAGATAGCTAGTTGTGATTTATTTTAAAGTAAAGAACATCTCAAAATCTGCAAATTTGCTTTTGTCTGTGATTATGATAAATTTCCAGTTTCTAAGATATTAGGCTTCAAATCTTGTGTAGTGGCAACTTCAAGTTTTGATGCCCTTCACAATCAATATTATCACAACTTTTGAAAGGAATCAGATAGCGAGTTGCGGTTCATTTTACATTATAGAGCATCTTAAAATCTGCAAATTTGCCTTGGTATATGTGATTATGATACATTTCTTGTTTATGAGATATCAGCCTTCTTATCTTGCGTAGTGCGGCAACTTCAAGTTTTGATGCTCTTCACAATCAAAATCTCACAACTTTTAAAAGAAATCAAAAAGCGAATTGTGGTTTATTTTAAATTATAGAGCATCTCAAAAACTGCAAATTGGCTTTTGTATGCGACCATAATAAATTTCCAGATTTTGATATATTTGGCTTTAAAAATCTTGTGTACTGGAAAATTCAAGTTTTGATGCTTTTCACAATCAAAAGCTCACAACTTTTTGAGAAAGAAATGAGATAGCGAGTTGTGGTTTATTTTAAAGTAAAGAACATCTCAAAATCTGCAAATTTGCTTTTGTATGTGATTATGATAAATTTCCAGTTTCTGAGGTATTAGGCTTCAAATCTTGTGTAGTGGCAACTTCAAGTTTTGATGCCCTTCACAATCAATATTATCACAACTTTTGAAAGGAATCAGCTAGCGAGTTGCGGTTTATTTTACATTATAGACCATCTCAAAATCTACAAATTTGCTTTTGGTATGTGATTATGATAAATTTCTAGTTTATGAGATATCAGCCTTCATATCTTGCCTAGTGCGGCAACTTCAAGTTTTGATGCTCTTCACAATCAAAATCTCACAACTTTTAAAAGGAATCAGAAAGCAAATCGTGGTTTATTTTAAATTATAGAGCATCTCAAAAACTGCAAATTTGCTCTTGTATGCGACTATGATAAATTTCCAGATTTTGATATATTTGGCTTTAAAAATCTTGTGTACTGGCAAATTCAAGTTTTGATGCTTTTCACAATCAAAAGCTCACAACTTTTTGAGAAAGAAATCAGATAGCGAGTTGTGGTTTATTTTAAAGGAAAGAACATCTCAAAATCTGCAAATTTGCTTTTGTATGTTATTATGATAAATTTCCAGTTTCTGAGATATTAGGCTTCAAATCTTATGTAGTGGCAACTTCAAGTTTTGATGCCCTTCACAATCAATATTATCACAACTTTTGAAAGGAATCAGATAGCGAGTTGCGGTTTATTTTAAATTATAGAGCATCTCAAAATCTGCAAATTTGCTTGGGTATATGATTATGATACATTTCTAGTTTATGAGATATCAGCCTTCATATCTTGTCTTGCGTAGTGCGGCAACTTCAAGTTTTGATGCTCTTCACAATCAAAATCTCACAACTTTTAGAAGGAATAAGATAGTGAGTTGTGTTTTAATTTTTATCAATAACAAAGCATTTCAAAATCTGCAAATTTGCGCTGGTAGGTATGTAATTATAATAAATTTCCAGTTTTTGAGATGTTGGCTTCAAATCTATTGTGTAGTGGCAAATTCAAGTTCTGATGCTCTTCACAATCAAAATCTCATAACTTTTGAAAGGAATCAGATAGCAAGTTGTGGTTTATTTTAAATTATAGAGCATCTCAAAACCTGCAAATTTGCTTTGGTATTATGTAATTATGAAAAATTTCCAGATTTTGAGATATTTGGCTTCAAATCTATTGTGTAGTCGCAAATTCAAGTTCTGATGCTCTTTACAATCAAAATCTCACAACTTTTAAAAGGAATCAGATAACGAGTTGTGTTTTACTCCAAATTGAAGAGCATCTCAAAATCTGCAAATTAGCTTTTGTATACGTTACATACATTGAGAAGTACCCATTCAACAACTTCACATTTCACTGTTGTTTTCTTACCCCTATCAAATCTCGAATTCTTCAAAAACTTATATCGACAAGCTACCACTGGCTGTATAGGCATTTGCGTATCAACTGCCAAATGAAAACTTCCTTTTTTGAAAGGCAGAAGCTTATCGCCCAAATTCCTCGTGCCTTCAGGAAATATCATTACGTGAGCATTTTTCCTTGCCATCAATTCCCCAGCTTTATTTAAGCTGTTTTGTCCTTCTTTAGAACCTCTGGAAATAAATACAGTGCCCCATAACCAGGCGGCTATTCCAAAAAGAGGAATGAAGAGTACGCTTCTTTTGGCTACTGGAGTGCAATTTTCCATTAGTGGCCATAAACAGGAGACAACTGAAAAATAAGGTTTAGCCTAATAGACAAAATACAGACACTACACTACTAACTATATAAATCCAAAAGACTTTGATGGTTCATGAGCACCACACATCCAGAATCTTTGACAATATTCTCATGTCCCTCCAAATGCAATTTGATTTCGAAAAGTGGAGCTAACAGTCTCATAGTGGTTGTAAAAAATCTATTCAAAAAATCACTTTATTACTTATCAATAATATAATTTGATGTAGTTACTTACATGCAATTTTTAGGACTTTTTGGACGGAATATCATTAGCGGTATAGTAAAACCTGCAACAAGGCAACAGACTAAAACCACGAGAGCGAATTTTACAAAACATTTTGCCTTCGGGCTTATTTTACAAACAAAGATTATACCAACTATCGATAATGCATACAAGTTCATGATGTCGACCAGAAAAGAACACTAAATTATATAATTTTTCCCTATTACTTCTAAAACAAATCCTTATCTGTACACTGATTATCTAAAGGAAATATTATTAGGAAACGATAAAAATATATAGTATGTATTACGATTTGGTAAAAATCACAGCCTACTTTGTTCAAATATTTACGGGTTCACTGAATGGATGTTTATCATTGAATAAATACTAACAACCTATTTAGAATATTGTCGGTTGTATTTTCTGCTATAAATATCATGGTGCGTAGGAAAATTCATTATTGTATAGACAAAGCTGAATAATCAACGATAATACTTAACATATGTGAGGGGTACCTACTTCAAAGTAAATTAATGAAAAATTACGTTACAATTATTATTATATAATGGATTAGGTACTGATTAACACAAATTTGTGTTCGAATAAATGGGGCGCTTGTCAGGTTGTCGCTCGAGATGACACATCTGAAATGAAAGAAAAACTATATGAGTAGGTACCTAACCAATTCATCAAAAAATATCACCATAGTTTAAATATTGACAGGAGTTATTGTAAATAAATAAGCCTTCCGGGTCATAGGTAGGTATTAAGGGAAAACGCACGAAATACCTCCCCAGCAAGATAATAGCTATCGCATAGAGTATCTACCATGGTAAACAGTGCATTTATATAGGCCTTCACTGGGATACTAAGGGAAAACACGCGAAATATCCACTCCACTCTATATACAACTAGCATAGAGTACGAGGGCAACCACTCGCAACGTACTCTATAATATAAATCTACTAAGAATATTATCTTGGTGATAATTTAATAAATCAATCAATGAAAAAGGTACAACTGGCTACTCTGTGAGAAACACTCACCTCACCTATCAATTACAGCAACTTGAATTCACAAAATATTTCACAGAGACACAGAGATTACAAAATACTGATTACACTTTCAGACTTGCTTCAAGATTGAATTCTAGCAATTTTTACTAAGGGAACCAGCAAAAGGATCGAACCTTTTTCGAGAAGGCTCGACAAGCAATTCTGGACCCTAATCGTTATTCAAAGAAAAGGTCATATCGCATATCGCCCTTTCTAGTCATGAAAGCTTTCTACCTGTGATAAGGATAAGTGTAGTTCGACTTTTATGAGGGAGCTTTCTTGAAATTTTCAATATAGGAATCTTGTAATGCAGCAAAAAAAAAAATTACTTACACATAATAAGCAATTCGTTGTTAACCTTCCATTAGGCGCGCGAGTTTTATAACATCATTAGTCGCGCTGTATCACAGAGATACACATACTAAATCATTGATAAAAAAATTGAACCATCTGTTGAATTTCGGTTTTACAATTTCTATGTATTTATTCGGGTACTCAACAATCAAAGATAGAATATTTTCACTGAAAAAGAGATTCCAGAACTTGAATTCTATTTTCGCAGTCGTTGCAGTTTCGCCCACAACGCCCGGCAGCTTTAGCATAATATAGGTACAAAGCCGAGCGCACCCGGAGTTTTTTGGAAATTCCAAATTTCCAGGTAGAAGTACGACCATGTAATTTTGGGAAAGTAATGAGTATAGGGTGCCTGAGGATTACTACAAGCCCTAATATTATAGGGTTTTCCCTTTTTGATTTATTTGCAAAAATAATAGGCATGTATTTCTCAGATACACGCGCGACCAATGGAGGGTTAACTAACAATGCATTTGTGTCTTATCTGAACCTGAACCTTACATATTATTGAGAATGATGTTGTCGAAGGAAAATATTGGTTAGAATTTTTTATTTTATCTTAGTTTTTTAGTAGGTACATATTTTCTTCTACCTAATGGCAGAAGTTAATAAGGATAAGGAAATATGAAGGTTTTTTTTTTGTTATGGTGTTAAGATTTGAGCTAAGTATTTTCTGTTTCATTTTCATCAATTTAACCAATGTCTCCATCTATTTTGTTTTTATTTTCTTGATTTTCATCCTTATTCAAAAAGGCTTGTTCTGTACCTATCCAGAATATTCATATTTTTTGCCATTTTGTATTGTGACGTTATGCTTTCGCGGGTATACCTACAGAATCCATGCCTAGGGATGGCAAAATTAAAAAATTATCGGTGTATCGAATCATATGATATATCGAAATAACATATCGATACATTCGATATATCGAACGGAAAACATCGATATTTTGAATATATCGATATATATTTTATTTTTTTATTTTTTTCTATGATTGTGCTTTTTTTCTGCACGCATTTCAGGTCATGAAAATATCACTTCTCCGCACTAGTGTGGAAAAGTAAAATAAAAATGCAATGTTAGGTCACCCTGATAGTTTTATGTAATGCGTGCGGAAAAGTACTTTTCCGCACGATCGTAGTAAAATAAAGTTCCTTATGGCGGGTATTATAAAACTATTCTGACAGAATAACTAAAAGTTAACTTCTGGAATGTCGTTGCTTCTCATGTAATTCCAGAAGTTAACTTTATTTAACTGTCAAAGTAGTTTCATAATACCCAATCATGCGAAAAGTCTCTTTTACTCATTCAATTGGTACGTACACGCCCTATTGACGTTTGTTTTATTTTAGCCGCCACTGTCAACTGTCAGACTGTCACAGTCAACAAATGAACTATGCGCACGAGCGAAGGCATTCTTTTAAATTTCCGATATATCGAAAAGATTATATCGATAATTTTTTCGATATATCGAATGTAAGATATCGATTAAAATATATCGATATATTCGAATAATATATCGATATTTACAAAATATCGATATATTTTTGCCATCCCTATACCATGCCTAAAATTCCAGAAAATACTGCATTGTTCAAGAAAGGAGGCTACCGCGTTTATTTTGGATTTTACAAGAATGGATTACGGATATGTATATAAAGGCCGATATTAGTAGTTTTTAGTTTAAGATCGGCTGTGAAAATGTTTTAGATAGTGATTATTGTCAGTGGCGTAACTTCAGATTTTGGACCTGGGGGCAGAGTGGTTTGGCGAGGCCCAGTTACAATATTGCAGTGGTGTATGCAATATTCTGTTTGTCTAAGGGCCAAATTATGGACCAACTGACCGACCAATGCGATTACAGATTGCGTTTCTATCCGTCAGATTGCATACCTGACAGTTTATCCAGAAGGAATCCACTCTAACTTATAAGATCCCGAAATACAGAGCTGTCGTTTGGAGATAAAATGTATGCCATTCGGCCCAGAAGGTCTATTTGGGCATCGCTTGATTGTTTGTTTTTTATCGATACCGTGGGAAAATCTCTAGATTGGCGGCGCCTTTGATCTGAAATTACGTGGATTTGACCCGGGCCAACCGGTTAACCGTGAAACATGATACTCCTGTTTGTTCCCACATTAAACGTCGACAGCGTGCTGATTCACGAATATTTCTTATTTACAACTACGGCATCCTGTAAAAGGACACAACGAACTTCACACTATGTACGATAGATGGCGCCACCGATAACATCATGACGTCGAAAAATTTGAAATTTCAGATCAAAGGCGCCGCCGATCTAGAGATTTTCCCACGGTATCGAAAAATTTCTCAGGCTCAGGTGTTCCCGTTACTACTCCCATTTTTTGTCCTAATGACATAAATAGCTACTATCATCCCCTATCACTAATTTCACCTCTGGCGTCCAGAAATTCGAAACACTAGAAAGATATTTTTGGCCCTGAAAAAGGAACTTTTAGATTTAAAAAAGTTATTTTTGAGCGTGGCTACTAAAAAAAGCTTCGCCTCCTGCTCCAACTAGGGTTACCACCTTGGACTTTCTTCAAACAAATTGTGGCAGTCCTGTCATATCATTGCTTGTTTGCTAGCGTAAGCTTTGAAGTCAAATGTTTTTGGGAGTGGCACCCGAATAAATCCGCGGTTTTTCGGCGAGCTTCCTTTGAGCCTAGTTCTCATGGAGCGGAAAATCGCGTTGCGGGTGCGGAATATCGCGCTCCATAACTTGCCGGTTCACATGAAGCGAAATTCCGCAAGCGGATTTTTAAGTATATTTAGGGTATTTCACATGATATTTTAGTGATTTTTATCAAATATCGTACCACACATCTCACAGGTGACAGTAAAAAGTGACGGAGAATAAAAATTCGCGCAACTTTTTTGCGATATCGCAATAAGTTGACATTTCCCCGCTGAGGGACCAATTTTAAAAATTTCGCGTTCGCCACGCGATTTTCCGCTGCATGAAAACTAGGCTTTGGTATACAATTTTACTCCTTTGTACGGCTCAAAGGGCTAGTAGGCTTGAGAAATCCAGGGCCGGTCTGACCTACCCCATCCGCTCCTGTGCAACATGAATTTTCCGTAATTGATATTTGGTATTTGAAATACTATTCACCAGTATTTGTGACAGCTCTGCCCGGAAATAATTATTTTGCGGAAACCGCCTACCATCTGCATGAGACCTCGGATGGGGCCCAAGAGCCTCTGGGCCCGGGGGCCACGGCCCCCTCTGCCCCCTCGGTAGTTACGCCACTGATTATTGTAGAAGTTAAAAGTTGTCAAGATTTAAGTTGCTTGAGTTAATTGGTGAAGTAATTAGTGTCAGAGTGTGTAGTAACGTGGAATAAATTATTGTTGATCTCAAATCTCATGTGTGTAAGTGTGTAGCCGAGAAAATGATGGCTAGAATCATCTTGAATTTAGTGTTGTAGTATTACATACCCGGGTTCGTTCAGCAAGATTGAACGGTGTGGAATTTATTATCTCTTCTTTTCACAAATCTTAAAAAAAAAAAAAAACGAAATTAAAAACAAATAGGACCTACGTTGTCGAAACTTACTCAATTTTACTCACTTGACATGCGCTCGACAATAGTAAAATTAGGGAAATTTAAGCGAAATTGTGATATGTAAAATA